GATTTGGTGGGATTGACAGATTCACACTTATTATCTGCACAAGTTATTTTTAACTGGTCTGCATGTCTACGGACAATAAGTCCATCATTTGTTTTTACTTTATAAGACACAGGTCCTGTACATTGAACAATTGACCTGGTATCCATTTTTCCCTTCTCCCATAATTTCTCAGATACACATTCTCATTAAATCCAAATTCTCTTTCAATGGATGTTTTGTCATGATTTAATGGAACTATTTTTGAATTGGCATCTGAAAGTATTATGCTATTATTCAGATCCTTAACTGACATAGATTTCTTTGATTGATCAATTTTCTCAGGTAATGTGATAGTGCTTTTTGGTAACCAAAAATACTGTTTAAAAGTACTATCCTGGACCATATCAATTTGCAACTGTGATCCAGTATTTGAAGTGGGTGTATTAAATGGCAAAAATATTTTTTTTCTTTTGATGTTACCCTTTTAGTTTCCGAAGTGCTAATGATGTTAGCAAAGTTGTTTGATGAGCACATTCCTTCTTACTAATGTATTCTCTTTAAAACATTTGAAATTGCCATATCACCATAATCATTTATTAAGTTACAAATACTTTGTTTAGGCAACTCTGACTGATAATGGACTGCATCTTCTCCATCTTTTAGACTTAATTCCATTTTTCTTATTTTATATGGCCTTAAGTCATCATTCACAGACTTTTCAGGCCAACCATACTTACAGTACTCATATACTTTTATTAAGCACTCATCTTTTTGTGTTTCTCTTTTAATATCATTCACATTTATATTGGAGTTATCCATGATAGTGAAGAGAACAAATACATCTTCTGGTACATAGCTAAGGCTTTGGTTTTTTAAAGGTAATCGACTAAGACTATCTGCACTATTCTCAGATCCAGGTTTGTATTTCAATTCATAATTGTATGCAGCTAGTGTGATAGCCCATCTTTGAATTCTTGGTGAGGCATGCTCAGGTAGGGGTTTGTTTTCTCCAAATAAACCTAGCAATGGCTTATGATCTGTAAAGATGGTGAACTCTTTACCAAACAGAAACTTATGAAATTTTTTAACACCAAAAATGATGTCTAAGCCTTCCCTATCTAACTGAGAATAATTTTTCTCAGCCTGGTTCAAAGATCTACTGGCAAAAGCAATGGGTCTGTCACCCTTTTCATCCATGTGGGACAAGACTGCTCCTACACCATCTGGTGAAGCATCACATGTTAATATAAGTCTTTTCCCTGGGTCATAGTGAGTTAGTAAGGTGTCAGAAGACAAAGCTTCTTTTGCTGTATTAAAAGCAGCATCTTGTTGTTTACCCCAGTGCCAACTTGCATTTTTCTGTAGCAGCTTGTACAGTGGTGATAGTTTACCAGACAGATTCCCTATGAACTTTGCATAGTAATTTATCAAGCCCAAAAAAGCTCTTAGTTGTTGGGTATTTTCAGGTTTGGGTGCTTCTTTAATGGCTTTTGTTTTCTCAGGTTGAGGTCTGAGACCTTGCTTGCTTAATATATAACCAAGAAAACTAATTTCTGTCAGCATGAATTGACATTTATCTTTGTTTATCTTTAAACCTTTTTCACCAACTATTTTCAAGACTTTATCAAGTGTTTTTAGATGTTCAGTGTCATTCTTACCAGTTATGTACACATTGTCAAAGTAAACACAAACATTTGGAATATCCTTAAAAATACTGTCCATGACAGCTTGGAAAATTCCAGGGCTGGATGATATGCCAAAACATAGTCTTTCATATTGGTAGAGTCCTTTATGTGTGTTTATTGTCGTATAGACTTTTGAATCTGGATGCAGTTCTAGTTGAGTGTAAGCATGACTAAAGTCTAATTCAGTGAATTTGTCTCCTCCTGCCAAATTCAAAGAAATTTCCTCAATGTTAGGAATAGGGTACCTATTTAGCTCTATTTGCTTATTCAGTGTGGCTTTATAGTCTCCACAAATTCTTACAGAACCATCCTTCTTTAACACTGACACAATGGGCGTTGCCCAATCGGAATAGTCTACCTTCTTTATGATGCCATTAGATTCCAATCTACTTAGCTCATTTTCAATTTTATTCCTCATTGCATAAGGTGGAACTCTAGCTTTGCAGTATCTTGGATTTGTGTCTTTAATGCTTATCTTCACTGTTCTATCATTTAGTAATCCTGAATTACCAAAAACACTTTCATTTTTAGATATTACTTTATCTATTGAAGTAAGACTAGATTCTCTTGCATTGTTCACTGAAAATATACTCTCCCAATTTAACTTAAGATCAACTAACCAGTTCCTACCTAGTAATGGTGGTCCATTTCCTTCAACCACAAGAAGAGGAAGTTTAACACTTTAACCATTATAACTTACATGAACCATACACTCTCCTATCACCGGAACATTGTCACCAGTGTATGTTGTTAGACATTTTTGACATGGTTGTAGAGGCACTGATCCTCCTGTGACAGCGTCAAAGTCCTTCTTTGTGATGACTGTTAGAGATGCTCCAGTGTCAAGTTGGAAGCTGATGCTCTTACCGTTGATATTAACTAGTACATTGATGGGAGCATGACTTATTGATTTCACAGAGAATAGGTTGAAATCCGGCTGCGAATCAGTTTGAGCATTTTCACAGGTAGAGTTGTTCATTGGTTGGGTTAGGTAGTCTTGGTGAGAGTTAACATAGTGCTGCCTTTGGTTGCGGTACTGTCTTGACTGGCTAGATTTAGCAACAGACGAAGACTTTGCAAAGCAGGCCTTGGCAATGTGACCTTGCTTACTGCACTTATAACAAGTTGCTAACTTGAACTTGCATCGATGAGATGCATGGGGACCTTTGCATCGATGACATTTTTGATAATTATTACTAGATTTAGATCTAGGATTTGAACGTGCAGGCTGTTTAGCATAAGTTGGAATGCTCTGATGGGGTTGGTGTTTGTTGACTAACCTGCTGTTTACTGCATGGATCCCTGAGGGTGCTAGAGATCTCGCCGCATCGGATGACTGCTGGAATGAAGTCGCAAGTTTTATTGCTTTTTCCAATGTGAGATCTGACTCGAGAAGCAACTTTCTTTGAACATCAGGGCTATTTACACCTGTCACAAACTTTTCACATAGTCTGTCAGACAGCGTGTCTCCGAATTCACAAAATTCACTTAAATGACGTAAAGCAGCAACATATTCTGATATTGACTCGTTTGGTTGACGAGTCCTACCTTCAAATCTAGCTCTACATAGAAACTTTGATGGTACAGGCGCATGGTGGTCTGTTAGCAGTTTGCTCAGCTCGTTAAAGCTCTTGGTAGTTAGACTAGCTGGTGCGCATAAGTCCTTTAATAGCCTAAATTGTTGAGGCCCTATGACTGGTAACAAAACAGCTCTCTTTTTGGCTTCTATCGTCACGTCGTTTGCTTCAAGGTAAAAGCTTAACCTATCTAGATAATCATGAATGGTTTCATCATTCGAATCAAATTCTTTCATTTGGCCATATAGCGCCATTATTCTAGAAATACTTAGCCAATATGCTCTAGCAAGCTCCTTTTTAAGTAAGCATATGCTCTTTCTAGTGGATTATCCCATCCTCGTCGCCAGATGTAATAGATTGACGATAGAAGCATGTGATTGTATATAAAACGTTTATTGGCCTCAACTAACCTGATGGAACGAGAGAGGGCGGAAGTGACGAGAGACAAAGATATATATACATATAAGGGACATCACTCAAGATAACAGTATAAATATAATACTAATACAAGAAGAGTGAGTTCCCTTGACTTCACAATTCTCACTATATTACACACTTGTTTAAAAACAGGTACATGAATGGAGGGTTGAAACATTTCTGTAAAACTTTAACAAACATATTGACATAAATCTTGATTGCAATACAATGACTGCAAGTAAAAGGAGCAAAAAATTAGAATCACAGAACAGTTTTCCTTTTTGATGTAGCTTTAATGGTTAAAAAGCTATGCTTTTTTTCTATTATAAAAGGTGCATTTTTAACAGGATAAAGAATTTTTTAGTGTGCACTAAAATGATCATTTGATCATAGCCTGTAAACTACATGGTAGAATCTGTTTAAACTTTCCAGTATCTTTTTTATCATATATGGAGGCATAATAAACAAAAAAATAAGACATTTATGGTTAGAATTTTTGAACAACAAAAGTTGAACACGGGAACCCTATTTTTGAATACGCAGTGCTTTCATACAACCACAGTTTAAATTTTAACTCTTTGAAATATTAAGCTCAAAATAACTCAGAAAGAGTAACTATGGGTGTGTCAATGAATAATATCAAAATACTGATCTTAGCATGAAAGTTTTGTGTATATCATGACGCAAAGCTGATAAATCATGCGATTCTACAAAACCGAAGTCTGGTTTGTGTGAAATACTAAAATTATGACAAATTTAAACTACTGAGCATTTAAGTCCCATAATTTGCTTAACTTTAGAAAGAATCAAAATATTGGTTGTGACTCCATCTGTTTGCCAGAAATATATGGTTGAAGAAGGTACCCCCCTTTTAAAAAACCAAAACTTTTCGCACAACCTGAGTGTGAGTTCTATTTATTAAACATATCACGCACAGAGCTTGCTCGAATGAAGTTCTAAAAGTGTGTCTATTAATGTGTACTAAATAATTATCATAAAGGTATGTTTTTCTTTTCATTGAGCTGAAGAATTGATACAACTCACTTTGTAATTATATAAATGATTATCATTATCATTGTTCCAAAAGTGAAAATAAATATGTTGATGTTACATTGATGGCAAATCATTTAAAACCCTTAGTCTGAATCAGTGATTGTAATTAAATGAAAGGATGACATGGTCAGATGACAGAATGCCCAAATGTTAACCATAAGCTTCAAGTTCGGATCCAGGACTAAGGTTGATAGGACATCCCCGAGTCCACCCAGGTGTAATGAGTACCTAATATTCTTTATGGAAATTGAAGACAGCTGGGCATAGTCATAACCACATAAATGTGTTTTCTAAGGTGATGATAGAGATAGCAGCAGAACTAACATGTCTGATGAACCTGAAGAAAATACTTGCTGTCAGTCACCTGATCTAAGACAGAGCTTCTCAAACTTGGGGAGATGTAGCCCAGTACACATTTTGGAAGGGATCAAACACACTCTTCTTGATAGGAATCAAACAATGGTGTGCTGCCTTTGATAACTGTTCATGGCACAAAAACATCTTCACAAATATCAAAACTTTCCTGGGGAGGGGATTCAAAATTTGATAAAAACTAAAATACTTTCAACAAAAGGATCCCATATATAAAAAAAATAATGCTATGAATGTGTAAATATAGCTGGTAATGTGTTTTAGACCTATAATAATGCTCATAATATACATGTAAGAGAAATAAGCCAGTAGCAGCTAGGCCTATCATTCCTGGCCTTCATCTTCCTCTGTGTTCTGCTGCTCCAGGGCTTGAAGGCGCTGCTCCAGTTCCCCAATGCGCTTGTCCTGTTTGCGCACCTTGTTCTTTAGCTCAGTGATTTCTTCTTGGAGTTCCTTCAGGTCGATACCATCATGTTTGTGTGACTGAGGTGGTAAAGATGGGGCTGCTGCCGCTTCAGCATTGTTGGATGACTGTTGTTGCTGTTGTTGTTGAGGTTTGGCTGGCATTTTGTCAAGAATATTGGACTTTCTCACCACTTTTAACTGCTCTTTCTTGGTTGGTGCTGATCCATCTTTCAATGAAACCAAAACAGGCTCAGCGTTTTTCCCTGCAAAGAAATCATCAGCGGAAATAGCAGGCACATCTGAAGCTGTGTCAGGGTAAAGGTCGTCTTGGAAAAGTTCAGACTTTCTAGGAACTGTAAATGGAATAATCTCACAGAAACCATTGTTGTGTAGCTTGTAAAACCTAGCAATCTCATTATTATTAACATTGAGGCCTCTTTTTGGCATGAATCCAATACCTCTCTGTGGGGAGTTGGACTGGTAGAGGGTTAGGAAATGAACATATGGAGCCTCATCAGTAACCTCATAATAACGGATTATACTGTCCCCCTTGCCTTCAAGATACACCATACTTGTGTCAGCATCATAACAGATAAACAAAACACCATTGCTTGAGTCTATCTCCTCTATTGTCTTTGGCTCATTCAAATCATTCTCATCCCACAATGCATACTGTCTTTCACTCATCTTTGAGAATCCAGTAGTAAAGATTTGACCATTCTTCAAGTATGCGCACTGAGCTGGTTTTGATCCTAAGTGACATTTGCCTTCTGAAATTGTTTTTCCTGTATGTGTGTCCATTATCCTCAGAAGTTTGTCTTTACAGGTACAAACAAAGCGGCTTCCGTCTGAGTTGAAAGAGGCAGAATAAATCTGATCTGGCAAATCAACTTGAAGCATGGCCTCACCAGTCCCAACATTCCACAAAATCACAAAGTTGTCCGAACCAGTGCTAAGTAATACATTCATAGCTGTGGGATGCCAGACAAGCAATGTAACTCTTCTTTGATGGGCACACAGGTCCACTACCACAGCCGGTAACCCCACTCGTGCTACCAATTTGTAAGCCCTGCTAGGGGGGGAGGGGATACCTTAAAATCTATATAACTGTCCGGGTCAGTGCAACCGTGGTGAAACCCACGGTGGTTATATCTTATCCTTAGTCTAAATAAAATACTAAAATAAAACAAAAACTTTAACAGTTAACAAAATTTATTTATCAAAATTAAGGAACCAATGGAAAAATCACAGAAAAAGGATAGATAAAAACTGACACAAAACAGACAAAACAAAACCAAACAAAACACCCAATTTCGGACCACCGTCCAGGTCTATGACGAACACAAACACAAAATAAAGACGGCTGGATGGTGTGAATTTGTTGTTCTTTACAATCGATGACCAGAGAGTCTTCCTGCTCTCTTCATCGCTGCTTTCCACACACCAAAAAGACAGACTCGAACAAGCCGGAAATCGACTTCCACACACCTCACACACTACACGTAAACAAATAGTCCCTAACTCACGGATAACAAACCAAACGCCACGAAACATGCAACAGAATTATATAAAAAGACACTTAATATAAACAATGACAACAATATAAACGAAATATATACAAACTAGCTATAAACAGGGACATAAACAGTGAGACAGCGACGCCATAATACGGGACTACACAACTAAAAACTACGAACAATTTACGACATGAAACGAAACGATACATTCGCCTTCTAAGTTACACATAATAAAAATACACTCCAGCCGCTCACATAAGCATTCAGTATCTCCCTCAAGCACAGAAATAAACTCGCTGTATTTCTTTATTCTGAAAAACAATCTGCTTTTAGTCGCTATTTGCGAAGTCGACGCAATCAGCGGGAGTCAACTAAACAAAGAATCGTCTATCAAACTGATATTTCAATGTAAAATTGTAGGCCTCCTATTTCATACAACAAACGCAATCCGTCCTGGCACCTCGCTCTACAAAATACGATTCTCTACAGCAGTGGTTCCCAAACTTTTTCAAGTGGCGACCCCCTTTTATAAAAAGTAAGTGACCCGCGACCTTCATAGAATTAAAAAAATTGGAAGGAAATTTATAAGCGCTTAAATAAAATTTTCCAGAAGACTTTCAATATAAATTATTCTTGATAACTGTTTTAATACGATGAGTGAAATTGCATGCTATTAACAAGCCTCAACATTCGCAGTTGAGTTTCTGTTAACGCCAAATTTATTTATTTCTTTGTTTTGTTTTTAATTGGAGAAATCTTGAAAATCCCCCGCCACCCCTCCCCCCTACCTTGTCGGAAAAAAGTCTGGAAGAAACACTGAGCAAGGGAAGCAGAGAATACGTAACGCGTCAAGGCAGATTCTTATTCTTTCAACACAGGGAAAATAACGCCACTGTTCGTTTTCTAGAGATTCAAGATGCCCAGAATCCTATTTCAATTTTTTATATATCTCACAATCAGATTCATCTACCACATTGCAGACAATATTTACTATACGTATTTTTCTTCCCAAATTTGCAGTTTTGATAAAAATTCAAAGAGATTATCTTGAAAACAGATAATATTCGTTCATTTTCTCTGATGCTTCAGGTTAAGCTTATGTTGATGTTGGAATATATCTGCTAGGTATGCTACTCTTTCCAACCACTCTTTTGACAGCCAACGTACTGCAGTGAAGAAAAGCAGAACTTTGTGATGTTTATCATTTCTTTGCACCGTTCTTTAAACAGACGTGTGTTTAGGACTCCGAATTTAATATTATAATTTACGACGTTTATTAGCAATGGTGTCGGAAGAGTCTTACTGGCGAGGGCATACCGGTGAATCATGCAGTAGATTTCCCGTAGGTTAGGCAGCTAAATCTTTTATCGGTTTCTAAAAGCCCGATTTTGACCCAAACATAGATAGCGCACCATCCATACAATTAATCCTACAGACGTTTTCCCATTTTAATCATCAAGCTTATAAAAAAAAAGTATTTTTTCTCTCCATGATATTTTCACTAAAACGCAACTCTTCTTTCCTATAATTATATTTTACAAAGACAAGCAACTGCGAATACGAACTTACGTCTGTTTATTCATCAACTTGAAAATCAAACAATGGTGAAAGCTTGATTTCATTAAAAATTTGTTCCTTAACTATCCAAGGAAATAGCTGCTATAAGTCGTTGAACAGTATTATTAGACAGAGATACTTGTTGCATCTTTATTGCACTGGAACCTTCAAGAATTAATTTCACCATCTTCAACATGCAGGGTTTGATGAAATTTTGTCCTATTGTTTTTTTTTTTTTTTTGCATGGCAATTTCTATCGCGACTTCATTGTATGATTTCACTAATGCTGTGTTTCATTTTTGAAAACTTGTTCGATTAAGTCTCTGACATTTGCAACTAACTTCCAGAGTTTCTTCCAGTTCGCCCCCCCCCCCCGAAGAAAGTTTACCGCCCCCCCCCCCCCCACCAAAAATTTCAAGTCCCCCCCCCCCCCGGAGAAAAAAGTCTGGAAGAAACACTGCTAACTTCATGCCGACGAAAGAGCTCCATGTCTTTTTGGTGTACCGAATGATTCGTCTCAAAATGACGTTTGAGTTTTGAAGGTTTCATAGACCCATGGCTGAGATCAACTTTGCACAGTACGCATTGTTTTTCATGATTTTATTTCCTGAGATGTTAGTAAAGCTGAATTTCAGATATTCTTCAAATTCTAAATATTTGTTGTTTTTTTTTAATTGCTAGGGTTTAGTCTACCAGTTCGCGACCCCCAAGAAAGCCATTCGCGACCCCAATACTCTACAGACTTAACTGGACAATCGTTCACATTTTATTCAATTGGAATTGGCCGAACTATATTTTTTTTAATCGCGAAAGAGTCATTGCAAAGTTTAGCAAACAATATCATTCGATAAAATACTATAATACCCCAATTTATACATCGCACGAACGTAGGCGCCTTTGCGCCTGATTTAATTTAGTGAGCTGCGCCTGTTGCAGTTTTACTCCCCAAAGTTTTATGGCACTAGGATGAACGGTGTCTAACCGCATCAAGACTTTTTATATACCGTATTATAGAGACAAATCGCATCGAACTTTGCCGGTGCGCCGCCCTTGTGACCTTGAATCTTCTTCCCCCACCCCTCTCAACACAGAAAGAAACCTATTCAGCAACTCCCCATAGTGCGATGGCGATAGGTGAAAGGTGTAGTAATGCCATAAGGACAAATCAACAAACAAACCCACATACATTCATTTATATATATATATATATATATATATATATATATATATATATATATATATATATATATATATATATATATATATATGTATGTATATATATATGTATGTATGTATGTATGTATATATATATATATATATATATATATATATATATATATATATATATATATATATATATATATATATATATATATATATATATATATATATATATATATATATATATATATGTATATATATATATATATATATATATATATATATATATATATATATATATATATATATATATATATTGGTCTAGATCTATATATCATAACAGCCGATCCAATCATAATAACCCTAAAAAACGGAATTAACGCTTTCTGATTAATTAATAGCTGAAAATATTTATTATGTCTTTTAAAAAAAGATAAATTAAACATCAATAATAATCATAATAATAAATTGTTTCTTATGTCTAAAAAATTTAATCATTTACAGCTACATTAATTAATACATTTTGTTGCTCACTTCAATTATCATAATTATGATCAACTTAATGGGTTAGATAATTATTTATACAAAATTTAGAATTGCATAAAATGGAATATATTCAATTTATTCAAACCCACATACATTTATATATATATATATATATATATATATATATATATATATATATATATATATATATATATATATATATGTATATGTATAGATTGGTCTAGAGTAGTCTAGACCTATGTATCATAACAGCCGATCCAATCATAATAAACCAAAAAAACGGAATTAACGCTAATTAAAAGCTGAAAATATTTATTATGTCTTTAAAAAAAAAATATAAATTAAACATCAATAATCATCACAATAATAAATTGTATCTTATGTCTTAAAAAATTAATCATTTTCAGCTACATTAATTAAAACATTTTGTTGCTCACTTCAATTATCATAATTATGATCAACTTAATGGGTTAAATAATTAGTTATACAAAATTTAAAATTGCATAAAATGAATTATATTCAATATAGAAAAATATAGAGTAAGTATTACTTCAATGATTCAAATTATAATTGTACATTTAAAATGTTGGTGTTGATTAGTGGTTAGTATTAATTGTATGGGTAATGTAAAGGGTAAGAATTTAGCCATCTTATTTTCCAAAAAACCTGAACAAAGCTAGCCATAACACCTTGTACAAGATCATAAATGTGCTATGGAGATTCACGACATCCATTCTTTCCATGTAGTTTTCTTTCCATTGTGTGAAATGTCTAGATAGCATATTAATCATTAGTAATACTTTGTATGACAAATATTACTATAAATGAAGAGTATTATGTCATGTATGACAAACATTAATGGTGTGTTTTTAGCCTCCACAATGTGGTTTTAGTACAAAAGCAATAATTTTATATATAGATAATTGAAGATCTTTGTGAAAGAGAATTTAATGACCAACAACACATTCAAGTCCTGAGTAAAAATTTGTGTGCATAGATAAACTAGATTTAGAGGAAACGTTTGTGATAAATGTCAAATTTATATGGTCTCTCGGGTAAATGAATATTTTTATGCTTAGATAAACTATCTTTAAAATTAAATTTTTTGTGACAGACATCACATTCATATGGTCTCTCTAGTAAATGAACATTTTTATGTATTGATAAACTACATTTATACTTCAATTTTTTATGATACACATCACATTCATATGTTTTTATGTATTGTATTTTATGTGTTATGTATTGATAATTGACCTTTATAATTAAATGGTAATTGAATATTTTTATGTATTGATAATTGACCTTTATAAATAAATTTTTTGTGACACACATCACATTCATATGGTCTCTCTGGTAAATGAATATTTTTATGTTTTGATAAATCCTCCTTATTCTTAAATTTTTTGTGACACACATCACATTCATATGGTCTCTCTGGTAAATGAATATTTTTATGTTTTGATAAATCCTCCTTATTCTTAAATTTTTTCTGGCACACATCACATCCATATGGTCTCTCCAGTAAATGAATTTTTTTGTGTGTAGATAAATGACCTTTACGATTAAATTTTTTATTACACACATCACATTCAAATGGTTTTTCTCCTGAATGAATCTTTTTATGATTTGAAAGATTCCATTTAGTACTAAATTTTTTAAGACACACATCACATTCATATGGTCTCTCTGGTAAATTAAGTAAATGAATATTTTTATGTTTTGATAAATCACTTTTATGATTAATTTTTTTGTGACACACATCACATTCATATGGGCTCTCTGGTAAATGAATATTTTTATGTTTTGATAAATCACTTTTATGATTAAATTTTTTGTGACACACATCACATTCATATGGGCTCTCTGGTAAATGAATATTTTTATGTTTTGATAAATCACTTTTATGATTAAATTTTTTGTGACACACATCACATTCATATGGTTTCTCTGGTAAATGAATATTTTTATGTTCTGATAAATAACGTTTGTGATTAAATTTTTTGTGACACACATCACATTCATATGGTCTCTCTGGTAAATGAATATTTTTATGTTTTGATAAATCCTCCTTATTCTTAAATTTTTTCTGGCACACATCACATCCATATGGTCTCTCTGGTAAATGAATTTTTTTGTGTGTAGATAAATGACCTTTACGATTAAATTTTTTATTACACACATCACATTCAAATGGTTTTTCTCCTGAATGAATCTTTTTATGATTTGAAAGATTCCATTTAGTACTAAATTTTTTAAGACACACATCACATTCATATGGTCTCTCTGGTAAATTAAGTAAATGAATATTTTTATGTTTTGATAAATCACTTTTATGATTAATTTTTTTGTGACACACATCACATTCATATGGGCTCTCTGGTAAATGAATATTTTTATGTTTTGATAAATCACTTTTATGATTAAATTTTTTGTGACACACATCACATTCATATGGTTTCTCTGGTAAATGAATATTTTCATGTTCTGATAAATAACGTTTGTGATTAAATTTTTTGTGACACACATCACATTCATATGGTCTCTCTGGTAAATGAATATTTTTATGTTTTGATAAAACCCCCTTATTCTTAAATTTTTTCTGGCACACATCACATCCATATGGTCTCTCTGGTAAATGAATTTTTTTGTGTGTAGATAAATGACCTTTACGATTAAATTTTTTATTACACACATCACATTCAAATGGTTTTTCTCCTGAATGAATCTTTTTATGATTTGAAAGATTCCATTTAGTACTAAATTTTTTAAGACACACATCACATTCATATGGTCTCTCTGGTAAATTAAGTAAATGAATATTTTTATGTTTTGATAAATCACTTTTATGATTAATTTTTTTGTGACACACATCACATTCATATGGGCTCTCTGGTAAATGAATATTTTTATGTTTTGATAAATCACTTTTATGATTAAATTTTTTGTGACACACATCACATTCATATGGGCTCTCTGGTAAATGAATATTTTTATGTTTTGATAAATCACTTTTATGATTAAATTTTTTGTGACACACATCACATTCATATGGTTTCTCTGGTAAATGAATATTTTTATGTTCTGATAAATAATGTTTGTGATTAAATTTTTTGTGACACACATCACATTCATATGGTCTCTCTGGTAAATGAATATTTTTATGTTTTGATAAATCCTCCTTATTCTTAAATTTTTTCTGGCACACATCACATCCATATGGTCTCTCCGGTAAATGAATTTTTTTGTGTGTAGATAAATGACCTTTACGATTAAATTTTTTATTACACACATCACATTCAAATGGTTTTTCTCCTGAATGAATCTTTTTATGATTTGAAAGATCCCATTTAGTACTAAATTTTTTAAGACACACATCACATTCATATGGTCTCTCTGGTAAATTAAGTAAATGAATATTTTTATGTTTTGATAAATCACTTTTATGATTAATTTTTTTGTGACACACATCACATTCATATGGGCTCTCTGGTAAATGAATATTTTTATGTTTTGATAAATCACTTTTATGATTAAATTTTTTGTGACACACATCACATTCATATGGGCTCTCTGGTAAATGAATATTTTTATGTTTTGATAAAGCACTTTTATGATTAAATTTTTTGTGACACACATCACATTCATATGGTTTCTCTGGTAAATGAATATTTTTATGTTCTGATAAATAACGTTTGTGATTAAATTTTTTGTGACACACATCACATTCATATGGTTTCTCTGGTAAATGAATATTTTTATGTTTTGATAAATCCTCCTTATTCTTAAATTTTTTCTGGCACACATCACATCCATATGGTCTCTCCGGTAAATGAATTTTTTTATGTTTAGATAATCTAGATTTAAGGGCAAAACTTTTATGACAAACATCACATTTATGTGGCTTGAGACTAGAATGGATAGCTATTTTATGGCTAGATAAATTACTCTTTTTTGCAAACTTTTTATGACACACACCACATTCATATGGACTTTCTCCTAAATGTATCTTTATATGGTTTGCTAAATAATTTTTATTATGATATTTTTTATGACACACATAGCATTCATATGGCTTATTAATTCCAGAATGAATATTTGTGTGTGTGGATAAACTAGACTTTGTGGTGAACTTTTTAGACAAACTAGACTTATTGTATACCTGTTCTAGGTTTATTTTGTTAATCTGTTCACCCTGACTGATCATAACAACTTCTTGCTGATGAAAATCATGACCATATGGATTCACCCTTGTGTGAATGTTTATGTGTTGTTTAACAAGATCAAAATGGGAAAATCTTTGACAACACATATCACACTTGTATGTCTTCAGTCCCTTATTGCTAACCAGATATTCTGTTGGGAGATTATCAATCAATTTTGTATGCAATGACTTGAGTTCTTTTAATTCATTTTGAAGATCTGATTTTAAAACTGCTAAATTTTCTTTAAAATCAGTTGAATCTGGTGGGGAAGAAAGTTGTTGCTGTGCTTTGAAACCATTTTGTTTTTCACTCTCCAAAGATGAAATTGTTAATATCTCAGGTTTTATATCTTCAAAAATTGAAAATGCTGTTGATAGATTTGGTTTCATGTCTTCAGCAGATGAAAATGTTGGGTTATCTTGTTTCATCTCTTCTAAATTAAACAAAGGCTTTGTTTTATCAATATTTTTATCTTCTAAAGCTAAAGGTTGCATTGTTTCCTCCAAGTATTTGTCTTTAACAGTTGAAAATTGTGTTGATACATTTTGCATTATATCTTCAGAATTTGAAAAGAGTGTTGATATATTTGTTTGTACTTCTTCTGAACTTGAAATAGCTGATGTTTCATCTGATTTCATGTCCATAAATGTTATGATGTCGTCACACAATTCCTGTTTAACCATAATTAAACTCTCCCAAACTATACCATTAGTGTCGTTTGTGTTTTCCATAGCTTTAGATTGATGAATTATTGCACAAAAACTGAAATAAAAATAAACTTGCTTAGAAAACCAAATTAAAATTTCTTTTTGAAAATATATTGATTGCATTTTTTAAAAATGTATAAATATTTCATAACACCATAGAATTTTTTAAGTCATAAAAAAGATCAAACAGGCCTTATTGAGCTATGGTAACATTTGTTTTAACAATTGAAGTGTCTATTATCAATCAGAAGTTTATGAATAGATTAATAGTTAAAAACAGTGTTCATGCCTTAGCACACAATGGTTGGGTGGCACAGTGCACATCTGTTAACCCATATCCCCAGAGTTTGAATCTCAGTAGGGAATCATATAATCATGTTTACTTTGTCTTTTGCCTTTATTAATCAAAGGGCGACTCCATTTTTATAAGCCATATTGTTATATTAATCCAAAGTAAGTGAACGCGTGTGGACAGAGGGCGGGGTAGTGGAGAAGGGGGGGGGGGGTGTCAAAAATCCGAAAAAAATTGTTGTAAGTCATAAATGGATGACGCCTTACAGACTGATAAATAATATCTAAACTACCACTCACACATCTCCCCCATAACTTTTTGTTTTGACTGCCTGCATGCAAACTCAAACGATGAAAAAATAGCGGGTGAAATCGAGAGCCTAACAATCATGACGGCGATCATTCTTTTATTAAACGACAATTTTTTTCGGATTTTTGACACCCCCCCCCCCCTTCTCCACTACGACTGACCGTGTGAATGTGTTACTTGTAACACATTCACACGGTCAGTCGTGCCACAAAATATCTCTTCCCTCCCTTCCCCTCTTTTTCCAATGACGTAGTAACTGAGCATCCGTTTTTTTATCTGCGAACCAGCGAAAAAACATCACAACAAACATAGGAAAAAAAAGGGAGTAAATTCACTGAAAAAAAAGCAATTTTTTAAGTTGGAAAATATGGACTACGAAGTTGTGCTTCTAAAACTAGATTCCAGACTTTTTCCAGACTTTTAAAAAATCCTGCCCAAAAACTAGCGATTTTCCAGACTTTTTTATGTCTTAAATTCACTTTTCTAAATTCAAGACTTTTTCCAGACTGCGTACGAACCCTGAGTGTTGTCGCATAATTTCCACCACCCCAGGTACAGTACACTACATCTACATGTATTACAATGTTTGGTCAACCATTATTGTGTTGCATGTGTAGGTCTGCTCTACTTCATCTACCCAAGTAACAAGTTACTATAATAAGTAATATGTGCTTACACATTTCTAAAGAAAAACTGGTTGTAAAATAGTACAATAGTAGTAACATTATTTAGTATTCAGTCTTAATATTCAGTATTAATAAATCCGTTTAAAAAATTAAACAAGATCTAAAAAAAAAATATAAAAGTTGCATTTTTTTAACACAATGTCAATCTGTTATGAGGGTGAAGCCTTATTATAATTTTTTAATTTTTCGAAAAATGCAAATACAGGATGATGCAATAAAATTATAATTTTTTTGAAAAATGCTAATCCGTAATGATGCAATGAAAAAACCATATGTGCCAACTTTTTTACTTGCGTAATATAGACTTGAATTACGAAGGTCTAAGCTGTTTTAGCCACGCCCACAATTTTTTAAAAGCCCATAAATTAGCTCCTAATGAAGCTAGAGACACAAAAATGGTATTGATGTGTTGGGAAAAAATCCTTTTTTTTTTGTGTGGTATAATTTTATCTGAAATTAATGTAGTTCAAAAACTACGAGCAACAACCTAATATAATCAAGAAGAGGTTCTGCCATTTAATAAACAACAAAAACTATCATTCTAGGCCCAGTAGTTTTTTTTATATGAATTTTTAAAGCTTTAGGTAAAACAGCTTATATGTTCATGTAAAGTTGCAAAATATTTAGTGCCCTTCTTTGGGTTTGAATAACTTAGTTTTTAAACAAATAATGTTAAAAATGTGAACATTGATGCTAGAGAGTGTAGACAATAGGAATATGCAAGTGAAATAAAGATCAATTAAAAGGAAAAGAATTTATAATTACCTTAATTACCAATTAAGGCATGTGGTGCAGTTCTACAATGATTGCCACAAGTCACTTTTCATACTGCATATCTATGTAGTTATTGATGATATAAAGATAAAACTTAGCACATAGATGCCTAAGGATATGGAAATAGAAACTTACAAGTTAATACATGCTAGAAGAAAAAGACAATCACGTATAATGAAGTCTAACTAAGGGGATGGGACTGAAATTTTGCATCAATAATACCTGGGTATTATACTTTACGGTAATATGATATGATTAGGATTATGTTGAAGTATCTAAATATTAGTAGCATTAGTTGTAGGCTACTTTTAATAAGTAGCCAAGGATTGCTAATCAATAAATGGTTTAACAGGAACTAGACGAGATGTGTGGCAACCAAAGGATAGACAGCTGCCTTATTTGCTAATCCGAACCTACTATATAAAAAACATTACTGTTGCTTAGTTTGTTATTTTTAAGTAAAATTAAAGGAAGTGGCTATTCGGACCCGGGTCCTAATAGACTCGGCCACTATTGGAACCCGGCATTAAGTTCGTTAAGCCCTTGTACAACCTGTATTAAAATTATACCTTTTATGTTTAGGCTATTTGATTTGTCTTGTGGATTTGCTCGTATTTTGTTGTTTTTTATTGCAATTAGTTATGCGGATTAGCTAGCGTTAGTTCTTGCGTTGCTATTTTTAAATACCCTATATTTAGCTCGGTATACAAAATCATTAAACTTTGTGAAATTATCGTTAGACGTCGCGGTCGAGTGGAGAACGCAGTACCTCATGTTTCTTGATCAGTTACGGGATCGGAACCTATCAAAGCTCTTGTTTTTGCGTGAAGTAAAGTGTATTTATCTAAGTTTAACGTTCCATTGAATTGTTTGCATAAGTGTCTTTTTTTTAAATTTAAATAGATTTTTTTTCTCTAGATTTAGGGTTTTAAACACGCCAATTATAAGAACATCGCTCTATTGTTCGTCTGCTCGCGTTTTCTGGTCAGCGCAAGAAAAATACCGACACGTTCTAGCCAGGGTCACTGTGAGTTCACATTGGTTTAGACGTGAACAGTGTAGGCGTATAGCATACGTCATAGAAAGACCATTGCTATGAGCTTGTCGAGATTTGTCGTCGTCGTAGAACTTTTGTATAACTAAATCTAAACAATTCTATTGGCTGGTCCCAATAGCGGCCGAGGCTTTTAGGACCTGGGTCCCAATAGCGGCCGTGGCTATTGGGACCCGGGTCCGAATAGATGCATCCAAAATTAAATCACATTGTTTAAAGTGTTACTGTTTCTGTTTTCTTTTTGACTTTTAAAAAAATGTATCACTGTTGCTTTAGATCAAATTATTGTTAAAGTGTTAAATGTTCCTATTTTATCTTTGACTTAGTTTTTTTGTTTTTTAATTTCCATTGCCTCTATACTATAGCACTATATTTTAACTATTAGGCCTATTTCTATTTGATTTTTATATTACTCATTGGTTAGGCTATCTATAGACTACCATTACTACTAATAAAAAGTTTAAAATTTAAATGGAATTAGTTTAGGCTGGACAGCAATATTTAATATTTAGTTATTTCTTCTTCTTCTTCGTTCTTAATTATTAGTGTTGAAGGGGATCGAGATTTATCTGCCAGTGGGTTTGAACTCGAGACTTTGTTCGAATTTATCAACCATGAGCTTTTTGCCGACTCGACCACGCCTCCAACACAATTAAGCGTTACGTGTAAACTAGTTATGCGCCATTGAGGCCATTGACTCCAATTTCAGCCTATTTTTCTTTTTGGATTTGCTTCCATAGCCTTTGTCCAAACAAGAACAAACTACAAGGCAGTAGTTGTTTAATTTTGGAGTTGTCTCTCCTAGAAGAGTGGCTGTCCCCAGCTAACGAGCCTCATCTGCCCGAGGGTTTGAACTCGAGACTTTTCAGTTTAGCAACCATGAGCTTTTAACGACTCGGCCACGCCGACCCCTCTAATTTTTAGATCTAGGGCCTATTTAAAATTTTAATTAGGTATTATTTACTAATATTTACCCGGAGAATGTTTACACCAATGTCCGATAATGGAATCTTCTTTAAATAAACCGGGAGTGATCTCCCCTAAACTTTCTCGAATATTTTTATATAAAATAACAGGGGATGGGAACTCGGGCTATAGACATGATTTTTAATCCATTTTAAATACTTAAAGTTTTAAAAATAGAATAAATTCTCATAGACAAATTAATTGCACACCAAGTGAACGCGAAATAAAAAAGCGCATAATAGTGCGCAATATTATTAGTACTTTTAAAATTTACATTCGTTTTTTGAGAAATCGGAAGTAGCGTAAATTACTACTTTCGGTCAACGGAAATTACTCAAAATTTAACAGAAGGTAGAGAATTAGATCTTTTACTTACATGTGAAATTTCATGTATCTATCTGAAATAGTACTCAAGTTATAGGCTTTTGAAAAATTCAAAGTAGAAAAAGTACCACTTCCGGTTGTCGGAAATCGCTCAAAAGTTGATACGGATCTACGATTTTGATATAATACTTATATATGAAATTTCATCAACCTAGCTGTAACGGTACTCAAGTTATCGTGTTTACACACGGACACACAGACACACAGACAGACATGCGGACAAGATTGCAAAATTATGTTTTTCCGTATCAGTGAGGTGTAAAACGTCGAGATTTGTAAAAATCTCGATTTTTTTTTTTTGCACGATTACAATACTTTCTCTATACTACGTATATACGAGAAAGTAAAAAGGGGTGTTGGGTTACTGGTAGACTAGTTAACTAAATACTAAATACACACATGGCTGACTAATGTAAATGCTAACCCTGTCCCTAACCCTAACCTCAACCCTGGTCCTACCATACATGATACGCCTAACCCTAAAATTAAAAAATATAATAGTATGTAGCATTAGAACAAAGGGAGATAATTTTCAGACAAAAACCTGCCCAGAGCTTTTGACTGATTTTTCAAATTTTGTTTTTACCACTGTCTCTTATTAATTTTAAATTAATATCATATTAATTTCCAATACACAAAGCAACTACATTTTCAAAATCTACTGAGGTTCAGCTATAGTCTAATGCAATTACTTTTCATTTTCTTTCATTTTTGCCTATAAAAAATTTGATTTGAAAACAATATATGCTCTAAATCAACTTTATTTTAATATATAAACACTTGCCTGCACACAAAACTATGCAAAATCAGTTAAATAAACCACGTGTGATTCTTATTTAATAAAGAAATTGTGATAGAATTTTACAAATACATTTTTTATGATTTTTTTAAGATTTGGACCTTTATCAGCCATGTTGTTTTTTCCTATATAATTAGTCATAGTAAAAATGTACATTTTTAAAAATAAAGCATAACATCAAACAGAAACAAGCCTGCACAATTATTAATGCAAATTTACATAAAGGAAACACCCCTGATTCATAATATATCATTAGAATTCAAAAAAAAAAATTTGCAAACATATTTTATAAAATTTTCATTTTTGTTTCCCACTAGTTTCATTTTTTACAGAGATTATATAAGACCATACATTTTAAACAGAAAAAAAATTATTTCTCCTTTCTTGTTGAAGCTAGAAATATAAATTTGGTACCACTGGAATTCTTAATCCTTCCTCTAACTAACTCATATGATTTTAAGATTAAATACTCAAAAATTAATTTTGAATGCTACACCTACTACAACCTACCCTAATTTAGTTAGTAATGGACACCAGCGAGAAAAGTCTCAAAGGTATTTGAGAGGTCCATAAATTAATTTTAAAATCTTGCACGGCGTAGTTACAATTAATATGGTTATAAAATCCTGCCTGTCTGTTTTTTTTTCGGACTTCACTAAAGATTGGATGTATTTGATGTTTTTAATATTTTCGGTAACTAAATAAAAATAATAAAAAAAGCAAAAACAATTTGGTTTTCACGTGTAATGGCGACATAAACAATGGCCGCCATAAATTTTATTGTACACATTGTAAGCTAAAAATAGAAAAAATAGGTCATGGTGTTTAAATTTGCATTGTTATTTAAAAACTTGATCTGCAAAGTTTTGTAAACAAAATAACTATAAAGAGGGGCTGTCAGAAATCCATCACGGAGTGCCTTTACAGCCAATCAATGTTTGCCTTACGAAAGTGAAACATCTGGTTATAACTTAGGCTTGATGAAAATAAATAGAAATGTAGCCTTAAACTCGACCCATCCTGATGGCACACCGCCTTGAAGTGGTGGGATGGCTTGTGTGCCCCAGCGACCCCCAGAGCTATGCCGGCGGGAGCCTAGTGCTCCTGGCAGGTCTAACCAAGTCGGACAGATCTGCGTGGGTAGGGGCCAGACCAAACGATGTGCCCTGGTCCTCCAGGTTGGGGGTTGTGCGATGGGCTAACTACTCGTCCACATAAAACAAAAGACAGTTACAGAAACCGAAGCCAAATCCGAAACAAATCCGGTCCTCGGGAGAATCAGGGCTCCACTTAGGAGAAGTATGACGCAATGCAGCCAAATCCGTAAGGAAGCTACAGAGCCGACCCCCCTTCTTCAACCGAGGAAAACTAAATCCACAGCCCCAAAACTACTGTCGCAAAAGAAACCTATCCTCACAGGAACATGGAACGTCAGAACACTATGGGAAGCAGGGAAGTGTGCACAGGCATTGAAAGAAATGCAACAGTATCATCTTACAGTGCTTGGCCTGTGCGAAACAAGATGGAACACCTTTGGAGAGACAAAATTCCAGACGGGAGAAACACTGTTATACTCGGGAAAAGAAAATGAGGATGACTCACGAGAGGCAGGCGTAGCCTTGCTATTGACAAAGGAGGCAACAAAAAGCCTGATGAAATGGGAACCTGTATCTGATCGAATAATTAAAGCTAGATTTGAATCCAGGTTTCAAAAGACCTCCATTATCATGTGCTACGCTCCTACGAACAACGCAGACGAGGAAGAAAAAGACCGTTTCTACGAAGAGCTTCAGTCGGTGGTTGATAAGGTACCCAAGCGCGACATGCTGATCCTCATGGGTGATTTAAATGCCAAAGTA